GCACACGTTTTTTTTTCTTTTATTTTTACATTCAGAATGCTTTTAAAAATTACATCTACAATACAATTGTTTATAATAAAATTCTATTCAATTGGTAGACTCATAACAATTGAAAACAATGTTTTTGCTTGAGTTTGGGTTTGACCAATTCATAAAAAAAAAAAAAAAAAAAAAAAAAAAACAAAAAACTAATTAAGACATGCGTGTCCATCAACCTTAAATAATAATCTTTGTCAATTTTATTTTTCAGTCTTTATGATGGCCAATACTTGATCGCTTACTGTTACATCCCCAGGCAACGCCGGGCTCTACTGCTAGTAATAAATATTCATTGTCTGTTATATTTAACAATATATGTTTAAATAATGACCTTCTGCCCCAATACGATATATATATATATATATATATATATATATATATATATATATATATATGTGTGTGTGTGTAACTAGCTCTATCACGGATATTGACCACTTTTTCTAACACACACATTTTCTTACATAGAGATGCTCAATTTTAAATATTAAAAGATCTCTTCTTAATACACATATAACATCTTATTTTGTTACTCATTTGGAGATAGTGAGAGACAGATAGAGAGACAGACACAGAGATAGAGAGACAGTATTTTGTTACTCATTTGCAGACTCTTTCATGATAAACAAAAGGAATTCAATTATTTCAAACTGTAGGCAATGCTGAAGAAGAATTATATATCTTGAGAGTGTGTCAAATATACAAAGACCCATTTCGAAAAGTTGCTATCTATGAAACACGTTGTAAATGGGTAATTAAATAAAAAAAAAATGTGTTATTTGTTTTATGTGCATATATATGACAACAATGGCTGGCTACTCCTTGTTTTCAAGTACACCAATCTGCTTGAATGGTTAGCAAATCCCTGTTACAGATGCTCAATCCACCTGTGCACCTTCATTTTATTGGTTCAGATTGCAACTATGCTGAGCAGACCTTAGCTACAATTTCTGGAAGAAAGCACATAATCTGGCATGATAAATTTTTTTTTTTCTTAAAAAAAAACACAGCCAGAACGCTCAAACCCTCGGTCACGTTGACTTGTGACTTTGTGCTAGCACAACCATTGAGGGTCTCCAAATGGTTCCATCTACCCAATTTCACTCACAAGGCTTGGGATAACTTGTGGTGTAGTTTTCCGGCACTTCTAAATGGTGCTGCATGGTTGGATCACCTCCCCAAGCTGATATTATCAAGAAGGTACCTCCTTGACAAATCAACCAGGGTGAGAGTCAAACCTGGGGTCTCATGGAAAGCAAATATTGTAACCACTCAGACAAACACCCATGTATATATCTCACACACACTTTATATATACAAGTACAAATGTATGACAAACACCGAATTCTGCAAGATAGGCTTTTAATGTGAGGAACAGTATTATTGGAATTATTTTTTCTTTTCAATTGACTTATATATATATATATATATATATATATATAAGATTTGCCCTACTTTGAATAAGAGCGATGAGGATAACCCACATGTCTGGCCAAAACGAAGCAAAAAATTCCATATTTTCTCTCAAGAGAGAATTTTTTTTTTAAAACAGAAACCCTGAATGTGGATGTGCAGGTGGACTGATGGTTAACAATGCAGAAAATGGATCCAGCAAGCAAAGTTCAAATTGTAGCTGAAACTGTTCACTTTGCACTAATGCCCTTGGAAAAAGTATGAATTGTTCTCTTCTTCCCACCAACTATGGGTTAAATGCCAACTATTTGTTGATTGGCATATAGTCGAGGAGAAGACAACAGAAAACCATTTCACTATCTTTCCCAAGAACAATCATGGCAATACACAACTTCCAAATTTTAAAGGAAGCTGTGGAGAGTCTTGATCGTCTATGTTCTGAAAGGAAATGGCACTTGAGGAGGAAAATTCTAAACAATCCTGATACAAAATTTGCAGGTTACTAAATTATTTAAAACTAACAACATTTAACGTTTAAAATTCATCTGTAGGGGTTGGGATACTGGGACAGTTGTAAGACATTTAATTGGAATTAAAGAAATTGATTTTTGGAGAAGTTTTGCTCAAAACTGCTTTTACATGACATTTAGTTTTATCAAAAATATCTTAAGCTGTTTTTTTCCCTTAATTCACCTACTGAGAATGTTGCTGAATGATTTACAATACTTCTGAAATGCAAATCTCACAGGAAAGATAATGGCAATGAGTTTGAAGCATTCTATGCTTTTAAAAATATAAATGAAAATTTGAAATGATGTTTGAAACTTTTTCCTTCATTCTTTTGTACATAAAAAAAAAAAAAATTAACATAAAAAAGCATTACTTTTCTCTTTTCTGAAAAGTGCAGAATTTAAAATGTTTCAGACAATACCACAACAAAATGTCTGTATAAATAGCAGCTTTCATATTTGGTTTTATTTTACATATATATATATATATATATATATAAAATTTGTGTGTGTGCATGTGTGTGTGTCTGTATGTATATGCACTATCTTTTTTTTTTTTTTTTTTTTTTTTGATATATTTTTTCCAAGTGAATTTTGATAATTTCCTTACTTTTTCATCTTTTTTGTGTTTTCCACAAAACAGTTACTGGCTCCAATGTTTTTAAAAATTTATTTTACAAAAGAAAAAAAAAAAAAAAAAAAAAAACAACTTGTTATCTTTCGGGTGATGTGACTGATGAAACGCCTGTAGTCCAGTAACCTGTGTCATAAAGTTGTTCTTTTTCTGCTGAATTGTCTACAGAATATTTTAATTGGATAGCCAAATCCCTGAAAAGATAAGAGAAACAAACCCAAGTAGAGAATGTTTTGCTTAAATATAAAGAGAAAAGTTTTGAGAATAAAAAATGCATAAATACTGTCTGAATGTCCGGGATGAGGAGTTAACATTATTTACATTTGAACTAATGCAACCATGTCACCCACAGAGAAGTGGATAGCCAAGGATTTTATCAGAGACTGAAGCATCTGGTGTTTTTTATGACTAGCAGTAAGGTCTATGAAGTAAGATCTTTAAAGTAGCTAACACAGACCAAAATAAAATCAATAGATAAATCCTTTGGGAACAAGTACCATAAGTTACAAAGTTCCATGAGCAGGCTTGTATAAATAGTCACAGTTAGAACTGAAGGTAGTTCCAGTGCTGCTTAGTGGCAGGCTAAAGGCTATCAGTGAAAGACTGTGAGAAGGCATCATTGTAGGTTTACATTAAATCCTCAACTTTGTGGTTATTATCACATTTTTGGACTATTGGGCATTTGTGGGTTTTTTTTTCTTTAATCATTTTAAGCAAGGGAATGAAAATGTAGAAGAATATGTGAAAAAGACAAACATTATTAAAGAGAGAGAGAGAAAGAGCAACAAAAAACCAGGAATGGAAAAGACAGAAGATAATGATTGACACTGTATTTAAGTCTTTGAAGAACAAAGTTAAGTGGAAAACAAGAAGCTAGAACAGATTTCCACAAGAAAAAAAAGTTGCGATAAAAGAAATTGCTAGCAAAGAATTTATGGTTTCATCTAACCATTTCAAACTGTAAAATGACGAGACCGAGCTATCAAAGAGGAAAGCAATATTTATTTTGATATAATAAAAAAACTGGCATTTTATTTATTAAAAAGGAGGGATATTTTTATGGTTAGTGTCATGAATGAAACCTCACAATTCTTAATTGTGGCAGAAAAATCAGTTAACTGGATGAAATTAATGCGGGACTAGGGAATTAAGGCTAATCATATAACCAAACACTCACTCAGCTACACATTCATCCAAACACAAAAACAATTACAAAATATGCACCTTTTGGAGAAAAAAAAAAGCACCCTGTATCTACCAAAGAACTGACATCTGTCACCTATCAGGGGAGAGGAATGGATCTCAAACTAAAGAAAGTGGAGACAAAATTAACAGGCCAAAGCTCAAAGAGGAAAGCTCATCAGAACAATTACCATGAAAATATTTATAGAAAAAGTAAATAAAAGCTATATCACAGTGGTGGGAAAGTAACTGAAGCAAAGATGCCAGGTCAAGACTGATAACATGGTAGATTCTTTGGATTTTATCACAAATCTCTAAAAATGCACAGCAGAAGACCAGATGAGGCAGCAATATTTAGTGCATGGGTGAATGGTTGACTTATAAATGCATGAGAGAAATTATGAAAAGAAAAAGTGTCTAGCATGATAAAGTGAACCAACTTTACTCCACAAAAGACATCTGAAGAAAGCTGGAGTGCATCATGGCTGAAACGTGATAATAAAAGTGAGACATTAGTCCAAATGTAAATTTACATCCAAGATCATGCAACACATTTCCTTTCCTTACAAAACTACTGCTATTATAATGTTGAATACTTAAAAACAATAGCTGTAGAATGAGTGGCCATGGTTAAATGTAAATAAATGGCAGAAGTGCTCAACAAACAGAATTGACAAAGTTTACAATAAGCAATAAAAAGATAAAAAAAACAGGATAAAAAATAATATAAAGAAAGCAAATGATATATGTAAGGCAAAGCAACAGTAAAAAAGCAAAAAATGTTCACAAATTAAGTATTGGGGTTTACAAACAAGAGAGTTCAGATAAGCGAAATATAGTGTTCTGATATCAAGACAAGACAGACTGGGACAGAGTCAAATGAAAATGAGAACTGGCCTATTTTATTGGCTAGGAAGAAATCCCAGCATGCATTTGTGTGCTTCTGCCTATAAATTGGGGGGGGGAGTGATTTGCAACATTTCCACTGGGGAGTTGAAACCAACAATAGCCATAGAACTAAAACCAATAGAAAGACGAATGAAGTCAGAGGTCATGTATCTTCAGTGTTTCTAGGTGTGGAACAATAATTGGTATTTGTTGGAGTTCATCCTTAAAGTGAATTTATGATTCCATCCATAAAAATCAATATTAGTCTGAAGAAGTCCCACTGAAGGATGAAACATCTACAATAAGTGTGTGTTTTTTTTTCCCCATTATTCAAATTTAAAGACAAATGAAAATGAATAAAGATGGAAACAAACTACTGCTGAATATTTGTCACCAGGGATGAATAGCAACCCCATGATACTATTAATAAAAGTACTTGATTGAAATAGATGGAAACTTTAGGCTCAACTAACCTTGGTTGTTTTCCTTTTTGCAATCGGATACTACCTCTTATCAAAGTATCCTGTACAGTTCGAAATGGTTCGTCCAGATACAACACTACTTGTGACCAGTGAAACGATCTAGTCAAAAAAAAAAGTAAATAAATATATATATATATATATATATATATATATATATATATATATATATATATATATATATATATATATATATATATATATAAAAGTCTCATTTACATCACCAAAGAAAAGAAATTATCCCTGAAATAGAAAGCTGTTAGTTTAAATATATAATACCCATAGAAAGTTTTGTAAAAAACAACTGACTGTAACTAAGTTTTTTCTATTTAATTTTTCTTATGTTATAATTTTCTTCTTTTCTGGACATAAATTATGTAGAAATTGTCTGAATGTTTTGAATGTCAGAAGGCTTTCAGCTATACTTTTAGCCATTATGAAGGATGATTTTATTATTATACTTCCATTTTCAGCATTATTAATAAAAAAAGAAACAAAAAAAACTCAATTATATCAACTATGAACATGGCCACAATGTGCTGACTGTGTTTGGAAGATAAAACCTTCCTATAACTCTAGATACATACATAAAACAACCCATACATTCAGTTAAAAGTAAAAATAAAATCCTCCTTGATAATGGCTAAAAGTATAGCCGACAACACTCGGACATACAGAACATTTGGATAATTTCTAGAAAATTTATGCCTAGCAAAGAAAATTATAAGAACACAAGAAAATTAAATAAAAAAACTGCAATACCTTGTCAGTCTTCTTTAATGAAACATGTATTTAAGAGGGAGAGTGTTATAGAGTAGTTTCACAGTGGAGGCTTGTATTTCACTGTTGGTCCTAAAAAGGTTCGACGTATAAAACGTTAGGAACTTGATATAATAGTTAATGACGCAGCAATCTAGTTGTGGTGGCTGATACTTTAATGTCCGACATCGACTGACCGACCAACTCTCTGAGCTCACTGCTGCTACTACTACTTATTATAGGTGGGAGAGTCTATTAACAATAGAATAGGTATGTTCCAGTATAACAGAGAGAGAGATAGGAACAGTTTCATAAAGTGTCTGCATTATCAGTCAACTAATTTTTTTTTATTACAGTTCACTTAATATAATACTCAAGAGCCACTCAAAGTAGAAGGTTACTGAATAAAATATGTGATATTAATGTAAGACGAAGTAGAAGCAAATGAATATTATGAGGCTGAGGAGGACTGAGATTAAGAGTGCAGTGTTTGAGGAAGCATCCATGCAGGAGTCTATTCCACAAGGCAGCAATTATTGGGATAAAAGCTGTCCGAGTGGAACTTCTTCCTCACAATTGGAATACAGAGGAAATGTGGGTGATTCAGCTGCACGGATGTAGGACAAGTCCTAACTATAAAGGTCAGAACCTGTGAAACAAAAGACTGAAGCTCATCTGAACATTTGATACAGAAATAGTGATAGAGTAACGATAGGCTAGTGATGTTGCATCTGTGGGAAAGATGTGGAGAATAAGTTTCCTTGTGTAAGATTTCATAAATGATTTTGAACTCTATGAAGGCTGAAAGGTGTGGATTGTGCAGCTCCAGCCCAGATATCACAGAAAGACTTCATTTATGGTCCAACTTAAAAATCTAGCATAGCTGAAGGAGTCAGGGAGTTCCTGGAGTGATAGAATGAACTCTGATCATTTACCAGCATCTTTAGCAAGGGTTCGTCTATACAAGTTCCACTGAAAAGAGCTGGAGTCCCAATAGACATTCAAGGTAAGGATCCTCATTGAGAATGTAAGTGTTTATCAGGACTGAAGAAAAGCATGCAAACAGAACCAAATAAATGTTTTTGTGCATATATTGTCAATATGATGCTAAAAAGGTCCTAAGTGCAATTTTTGTGATACAATTGATTTTTTTTTTTTTTTTACAGTTTATCAATCTTTTGCAGGTTATTTAAAGCCACAAAATGTTTCTGGATTGTAAAAATTCTTCTGGAGATAATAATTTACTGATATACGTGCTACTATTTAACCCATAGCTGGAGGGAGAAGAGATGCATTCATACTTTTCCCAGAGGTATTTGCATATAAGTTAATATAACAAACCCAACTGGAATTGGAACTTGGCTCTCCAATTTCTAGTTCAGAGCAATTGTATTACTGCACATTCAAGCTTTCAGCCCCAGATATTCCCAGGTGGTCACCCATCTAGGTACTGACCAGGCTCGATATTGCCTAACTTCGGTTTTCACACAAGAACTGGTGTTTCAAGGTGATATGCCCATAAGCCTTTTGTGAAATGAGAAAAAGGCATCTTAAAAGATAAAAATTCAGAAAAGAAATATATAATATATTAATAATAATATCAAGTATCTGGTACATACATTTATTTCAAAATTAGTCAATCACAGTTTTTGTTACTGAGGTCAAAACAGATAAACAGAAGACTTTGGTACTTACTCTTTAAATGGTGAAGTTGAAAGTACAATATTTCCTGGGAATTCAACATCAAACCATAAAGTAAATCCATGAACACGGTTCCAGCCATAACATTTAAATTCAAAATTCTGAGCAATGTCTTCAATATCCCTGGGGGTAACTTTGTGGATGTTTAGTCGACAAACTTGGAGTGGTGAGGCTACTATGTCTTCCATCATCAACTGCTTTAATTCAACATTTGCTGAAAATGAAACCAAATATTTGAAAAATACCCAACTGTAGTATGTATTTTTTTACAAAACAAGATGCTTTCTTTGCCTCAATTTTGAATTATTAAATTTGGAACCAAAAAAAAAAAAAAAAAAAGAAGATTGGAAGTGGGAGTGATTGAACTAACTTACCTGAAATACATTTCTTGGCAAAGGGAATCATACTTTTCATTGCTACTTTGTATCGACTGGACATATCTTCCCAAAGACCAAGCCTGAAAGAAAAAAATGTCAATATACAGATCAGAAATGTGTCCTGAAAAATATGTTGAGGGGTACACTTGTCTACCAAATACAAGAGGCAGCATGATTAAATTATTTCATTCAATTCCCTGTTCCCAGTGGGGTGTTCATTCGATATGGTATGCTTATTTCAAATCATTTACTCCATGGTAGAATTATTGTGTCCTATGTTAACCTTTATCACTCTGCATATGACTTTATTTACTGTACAAAAAGTTTATCCTGTTACTGAAGGTAACTGTGACCCTAGAACAATACTGTGTTTGAATTTCATAGTAGTGTTGTCATATCCTGCTATGGCAACAGAAAACAATGAGTGAAATTAACAATAAGGATACTGCAATTGAGAGGCCTTGAAAAAGAATGCAATGGAAAGGAAAGTAATATTAATAATGCAGAGTGCTAAAGGTTAATAAACAATTTGATTAAAAAATTTCCAGCAAAACATTTATTTGAATCAACACACTTATTTCATAAGTTGAAAAATTCTAACTAGCATGACTATTTCAAATGGCATTGGTCTTTGGTACAAAAGAGTACGAGAACTCAAATCTTACACAAAACTTATTAATTTAACATAGGAAAACAATATATAAATTTTTTATATATCAAGAACAATTTTAGGGAAATCTATGACAAAGTGGAAAAAGTTTTATTTAACATAAATAAGTAATAACCTAAAATATTATTTTATCATGTTAAACAGAGTTAAACTAAATTCCTCTTTTACTGAATCAGCAGCAGCTGCCACTGCTTAATGTTATGTGTACTGCCTGACTTTAGTCTTTTGTCAAATATACTCTATATGTATCATACCATTTTATCGAGATGACCACAAATTGAATTTTGTGTATCTGAGATAGAGAATTTAAAGGGAAAATGTCTGCTTACAAGTATCAAGTGTCCATTATTATAGATATAAATTCACTTTCCTGATACAATTGAAATAACTTTTAAAATTTTGTACAGAATAATTTTATACAGTAAGCAATGTATGCTTAGGATTATATGACAATGATATAGATAAAATATTGATTTTCTGGAATTACTTAATAAACTGGTCCATTCATATATATATATATATATATATAAAAAAAAAAAAGGGGGAATTTTTTTTTAATCTTTATAGATTTGGCTTATGATATTTGTCACTATCAAAAAATATATATCATTTTAGAAGTGGGGTCTCGTTCATAATATAGTATCAAATCAATCCCTCTCTTGGGTATTGGGATGAGACCAATCTTTTGATCACAGCTCTTTCCCTCCACTAGATTGGGATGATTCCTTCAGCAAGTCTTAGCAACCCCTAAGATCCCCAATGTTAGGGATACGGTGAAGCCAGTGGCAGTAGGTTAGTGGATTGCAGTTGCAGAATACCATCTGCATCAGACCATTTGGTCAGCATAACTCCCTTTGGCAGAACCAATGGTTGGTGATACCTAGTACAGTTAGGATGCTACTGTGGAGCATTTGGCTAATGCTTCTTTACACAAATTCCTAAAAGGCTAGGATGGGGTCTGAAGCCTTCAATAGTAACCTTCCTAGAGATGGTGTCACAATAAAAACTCAGTGTACTTTGACTACAGGGAGTGCCTGATTTGGGTATCAGGAAGAGCAACCGGACTAGTAAAACCTTGCTTCAAATCATTATTGACAATTCTCAGTATGTTTTCACATTCAGGTGGTGCTGGTAGCCAAAGAGCAGTCAGTTGTGTTTCTGGCTTGGCTGACATTGGGGTGCGTGTCCTAGAAATAGCTGATGTTAGTGACAGGCATATGGGGAGATGTAAACTGAAATCCTTTCTCAGGTAGGATCTACTTTACTTTGTGTAAAATTAATACCAGTCCTGCCTCTAAAAAAAAAAAAAAAACGGCTATGAATGATGCCAACTTCTTAAGATGGGATTTTTATTTTGTTTTAATTTACAAATGTTACGTTTAAAACTGTGATTATGTTATTGATAACTGCAAACTACTGCCATTGTTCTTCCCCTCAACCCCAAATTCATAATATTAATATAGTCACTGTCTTATGTGACTGTGTCCCTTCAGGACATGGGCGATCATGGCTCTCCACAACATCCTATCCTTTGTTGTTCTGAATAATGTTTGTCCTATTACTATCCTGTTCTGTCATTCATTTACACAAGCTGTTAAGTAGGTTTGCGGAGGGTTGGTATTGACTTTGTATCGATAACAGAAGTTGAATATTGGTGGACTGCAATAAAGAAAATGAAAACTTGATTAGAAAATGACTGGCCAATGTTTATTGATGTACGTAGATACAAGATGTGAAAGTATAAAGAATGACCGACTTCAAGTCAGCATGATGTTGAGTAAGGGTGGCCATTTCTTCCTTTTGTTGAAACAGCTACTAAACACATTTGAAGTCAAGGGTTGGGAAGTGAAAAGAGAATGATTATTTTTTTCCAGAAGTGTGTGTGTGTGGGGGGGGGAAAGAGTCATAAAATTCAGATGTGACCAGAAACTTTTTGGTTTCCTTTTGCATTATGGGAAAATTAAATCCTTTATTTTTTTTTATTATTATTTTATTTATTATTTTTGTTGAAAAAATTGTTTTTGTGCCCATGTGCAATGTATGGTAGGTAGAGAATTTGAATTTTGTGATTTTGCTCTTTACAGGTTTCCTTCCTTCTTTTCTTTGCTTCAATCTGTCCTGTGAGTGTCAAATTTCTCCAAGCCCTCTTTTCTCATTATTTGTCCCAGGAATTACAACTGTCTTTTTCTGATTCTAAGTACAAATATCCCCCCCCCACTTCTTTTTTGTAAAACTCCCTTATTGCTTACATGTTCCATTCATAGCTGTCTCCAGTCTCTGTGAAAAAATTGTCTAGCATTCACTGCCATAAAGGAGGATCCACTTTTTTTTTTTCTTCTTGGAATATGGTCTCCTATTTCAAATAAAACTAGTTTTGATAAGAAAAATGACAGTGCTCAATTTTGAAGAGAAGATCTTTACAGAGTGGCACTCAAAATTAGAAGAGGAAAAAAGGTAAATGGTTTTCATAAGAATATCATTTTGATATTTTTGTTGTTTCTTTCTTGACTTTTGGTTGCATCTTCTGCCAAACATCTTTGGTTACATTATCAGACTTACCTGTCTTCATATTCTTCATCAACAAATGGTGCAATGTGCAAAGTAGCAGTGGACGGGAAGAGGTAGCCTTCCTGAAAAAAGATGACAACAAGCGAATAGATATTATTTCCTGATTATGAGAGATTGGTTCTTGGTTGTTTTTATTTAGTGGCATATCAACACCGACATGGGTTGTTTAATGCCAAAATCTAAATATGAAAATTCAAACATTTTTTTTTTCAAGAGAATGACATTGCATGATTAAATTTTAATTACTTAGCTGCTTTTTCTTAATAAATAATTTTACAAAATCAAACAAAGAGTGAAAACTTATTTATCCTAACAAGAAATGGGATTAATCATTGAAAATTGCTTATTTTTGTGGATAATATATGCCAGGACTTCAATTTTGCTATAAAAATGTATTGTTGGTCATTTTGCTATAAAGGGTCTATTTGAAAAAAGATTTTATAAATATTGTGGTAGCAAATCAACATTTGTATGCATGATTATAGTTGAAGTCTTCAGGACCTTAAATTTCTGGTCTAATAAGTAGCTTTTCCTTTTAAACAGATTTGTGTAAAAAATAATTTGATTCAAAAAAAAAAAAAAAAAAAAAAATAAATAAATAAATAAATAAAAAGCTAATCCTATTCTTGCACAAGCCTTTGTAAAAAATATAAATTTTATATATATATATATATATATATATATATATATATATATATATATATATATATATATATATATATATTTTTTTAACATATGCATTTCATCCTTTAGGACTTCATTGGACTAAAAGGATATTTACAATGATGTGATTACACATGAGCATGAAGGAAAGGGGATGCTGAAATTTTAAATTAAAATTTTTCTTTTTTAATCTGTATATAGTCTAATTGATTTCATTTAGTTTCTTTTTCTTTGTTTTTATCATTTTTTGCTATTAAATATTCCACATTGAGATAATAGAAGATCTGCTAAGAAAAGTGAAATGTTCTAAGACCCTGGAAGAAGAGAGAAAACAATTTACAAGGTAAAAATGTATAGAAAGTGCTTTAATTGCTAGATCATCACAGTAAATTTATGTCCACGTTCTTACAATATTTCACCTTTCTTTCACTATTTACATTGTTAGGACACATAACCCAGTAGATAAAAACATTGATTAAAGTAATCCAGTTGTGAGTTCAATACCTGTCCACAGCAGAGGTCAACAAAATACTTGGAGAGTTGTGTTACTAAAAGGGAAATTACTGAAACTGAGATATCCAGAAAAGGCATGCCATGTGGAACTAGAACAATCTACCTCAGTGGATGAAATAAAGGGTTTGGTTCAAAATTGCAATGTATATCACCTGAAGAAGGTTGGAGTGTACAATGATCAAAACGTTATGATGAGGACAACAGTCTGAATAATGTAAATAGTTCATCCTAAGTACTTAACTATAGTCACTCAGTAGTTGCCGTTAAAAATTATAAAGAAGAGCACTGTTTTGACAAGTTGTTCACAGTGCTACATAAAAAAAAAAAAAAAATGATATACACATTTTATATATTTCTTTCTTTATATATCACTGTACTGATATATATAAACTTGGTAGGGTTTTATTGGTAATTGCTTGCCAAAAGCCAGTGGGATTTTATCAATACTTTTATGTCCCAATTCTGTCCACCCATTAAAACGCAATGACAAAAATTTCAGTCATCAGCTGTTAATGGGTTCACATCCTTTATTATAACTATTATTATTATTATTTCATAAGGAAGTTTTTATCTTCCAACATACTGGGTAACTTTTCATTTTTTTTTTATTTCCCTTTTATATACATGCACACATGAAGGATATATGTGTGTGTAGTGTAACGGTTAACAACTGTGAAAAAGAAATCAGCAATCAGAGTTCAAATTCTAGCCAAGTTCATTATCTTTGCTTTCACATAAATACCCTGAGAAAGGTATGAATCCATTTTTCTTGCCCCAGTTATGGGTTAAGTATAACTTGCCTTGAGGTAGCAACCAGTCAAGGAGAAGGAAAATTGTTTTCAAATCCAGCCTAAAGAAGGATGGGCTCTGTCAGGTTAATTTGTCCTAGATACACCACTGCTGTTATGGCTGCAGTACATGTGATATCCCTACAACACTAATGGTTCATGGGATACATAATGTGATACATATGAAGTCATTATACTGATAGAATGTGCAGAGGGGGTTGAATGAGATGGTAGAAATAAGATATTTTTATCCGGGCAATGCTTGGTTACTTGCTGATGGAGTAAAGAAGATGGCTTTTACTTACTGGTTTTAACCATGAATCTCGAGCATGGATCACCGATTTCAGCATAGATTCATACAACAGACAGTAGCCCTGTGAAAAGAAAGAAAATTCATAGCAATATCATTATTAGAGAATAACTGATAAAAGATTTTCATACTTTCCTATCAGATAATTCCATAGAATAACAATTCAACTCAAGCAATGCAAGGCAATAAAGCCACTAAGATACAAGAGGTTACTGAGTGTGAAGAATATGTGACAAAGAAAAACATTATTAATGATAGAGAACACTAAAGAACAGAAATTAAGAAAATAGAAGCTGATTTAAATATTTGAAAATTAAGGTTGACTGGAAAGCAAGAAGCTGGAAGAGAGTACCATATGTGAGGAGTGCAAGAGAAGAAACTGTTTGCACAGAACTTATGGTTGCATATAAGCAATTTCAACTTCAAAATAATAAGACCTTGCTGCCAATCTAGTACTGCACTTAAATTTGTAAAGACAATGCAGCAAAGAGGAAAGCGATATTTATTCTGTTTTCTACAGATATGTGGCACAAGGCCGAAAAGGAGATTGGGGAAAGGACGGTCTTCTTCTGTCTTAACTATAACTTAGCCAGCCGCAAACAGTGACCCAATCGTACGAAACAATATTCCTTACATCAAAACAACACATTCATACGTACCTTTCTTACTACAATCACCATAATACCTCTTTGTCTCTATGAAATACTAACTAGTCCCCATATTTACAATTCATTGTCTGGGAGGGAATAAAACAACAATTCTAAAAACTAGCCCCAATGAGTATTTACAATAAGAATACAAAAAACTATTTACAAGAAACTAAAGAAAAATAAGATTAGTAAAGAGGAAAGCTCATCAGAACAATTAGCATGAAAATATTTATAGAAAAGGTATGTGCAAGCTACATTATGGTGGTAGGAAAAGCTGAGATGTCAGGTCAGGACAGATAACATTGCAGATTCTTCTTTGAATTTTATCAAGAATATCTAAATCTCACTTTTTTCACATTCATTTTGGATAAGTTTTCTCATGTTCACCCAGTTGGGGGATTAAAAAAAAATATGAAGAAATGATCCCTATTATGGTTACCTATATGGATGCGTTTGGCAAAAACAAACTTATTTGCAGTCACTGAGCACAGAAAAGTATGATTGGTTTTGAAATTCCTTCATAAATGTTCTTTCTAATATTGAACTTCAGTTATGTGAAGAAGAAGAATTGGCCACCATCTCTAGTGATCAAGGGCACTAAATAAAACTTTCAATGGCACCCATTGATACAGTTTGGATTTCAATAGAAAAGGAATATCCCATATTAGCTAAAAAGGCTTTATCAGTTTTATTTTAATTTTCTACTTTTTATTCATGAGAATTACACTTCTCAACCCTAAATAACATTAAAAATAAGAAGCGAGAAAGATTACGCTCAACTGAAGAAGAAATGGGGGTCTGCTTATCACACATTCGACCAAACATTGAAGAAATCATAAAAAAACACCAAGCACAAGTTTCATACTAAATAAGCTGCACAAATAGTTGAATAGAATCATTAAAATAAAGTAAATTCATATTTGTGTGTGTGTATTTTCTTTTTAAATAAATGTTTTTATTTCATATCATTTAAATGTATATGCTTTAAAAATTTTGCTAAGTGTACCATATCTCCATTTGCTTGTAGGTGTGTTGTTGCTTAAAAAGGTTGAGAAGCATTGGTCTAGTACAACAGAGAAAAGAGAAGTTATGTCTTGTACAAATGCAGTTATCAGTGTGTGTGTGTATATTAGATTTTGCAAAGCCACGAAAACACCTAGTAAAAAATAGTTAAAAATCTAGTTTTTTCATCTAGCTTAGGTAGTGTACACACACTTATACCAAAAAAATATCTTGTGATTTTTTAAGCATAGCTTAGATGTAGTACAAGGCCAAAAGCATGGGGCACCGTGTGAGAATCAAACTCAGTACTCAGTTGCAATTGATGTAATGAGAAAAGCTTGCTCTCTCATATATTGAGTCAATCATGATTGCTGCATGATTTGAATGCATTTATATTCATAAATTATTTTAAAATTATGCTGCTCAATGCTGCAGTTCAGCTTAATATTGTCATTTCCTATTTACAGAACTTATGTGATATTTCCAAATAAAGATGCAAATTATTTTGTAAGTTGCAGCTATTTTTATACAGAAATAAAATTTAAGTTTTTAATTTTTTTTTTTTTTACAAAATAGATATATCGTTTATTTTATGCAACAGTTAGCAATCTTTTTATTTTTACTATCTTTAAATGTTGGCATTATATTCTTTTCACACAAACACAATTATCAGATCATTATGAGCAGAAATGCAGGCCACACAGGTTAGCAAGTTGTAAATTGTACTTGAAATTGTTTTTCAAGTAAAGATAATGTTTAAATGCCCTAGTAAAAATCTGGCTATGATGTGCCATTTTTGATGTGTTAAAATGGCAAATAAACATATCCAGAAAGAGAAAGTGGATTGTTATAGATTTGTAATTTGTTAAGAACCCAAAAATAATATTTACAATATTTTTTCAAATATTAAATGTGTTTATTCCAAAAAAAGGAAATCAAATTAGCACCTTGGAAATGACAGACATATTCAACTTGAAAATTTCTCACTGTGTAAAAAAAAAAGAAGACTCACAAAGTATGCTTTTTAAGAAAATGTTTGTTTAGCAGCATATCAACCCCTCATGGGCCATTTCAAACTGAAATTTAATTTTCTTGGGATCATTATTAATTTCTTTTACAAAAAATGTATTGCTGGTAATTTTTTTACTATGAAAATACAGTACTGGTATTTTGTTTATACTTTCATAGTGTTTTGACTCCCTTTTGGGGGTTAACTATTTGCCCATAACTAAAACTGAGAACAACAGCAATTAAGAAGTGGTCCCATGCTCTTCAAAACCTCCTGACCAGAGGCGTCGTTGCCAGATGTAGTTTATCATCATACCCAGGACCTTGCTTAAAAAATGAATTACTTACCATCCATTCACTGACAATTATATCTACTTTCTCAGGTAAAACAATCTCCTGTAGAAAAAAAAAAAAAAAAAATTTTTTTAATTTTGTTCGGCAAAAAACATTTATTTTTTTTTCAAATATTAAAATCTTCATTTCAACAAACTAAGCAAAAAATATATTCTGGATATATTAAAAAAATGAGATAAAAATTGTTGGGAAAAAAAAAAAAAAAAAAAAAAAAAACGCAAATAATAATTTTTTCAATAAAATAAAGCAAATGCGACTTTACATATTTATTGGTCCTACATCCTGATCTTGCATACTTACTGAGCTATTATGTTGTTATGGTAACAGAAGACATAAATACCAATAAGCAAATATGCCTTGTGATAGCAAGACAGCAGAATATCTGTCACTCCAGTTCATACTCCTTAAGAAAATTTTTTATTTTATCAAACATATTTACTTAATTCCTAATGTCAATATTTCATATTTTTCAATATTAGTGGAAACCTATATATAACCACTTTTTTTTTTTTTTTTTATAAGAATCCAGTTTTCCCTGAACCATAAACAAATCACAAAGCCAAAAGCTCCAAAAAAGTTAGAATTTGGCTTCAGAAAGAAATATTTATGCATGACTAGTTGTATGCTGAATGCTCAAGAGTAAGAAATTCTAAGAATTTATTCTTTGATGTTAAAAAGGAAAACAAATTTTCTTAAAAAAATATTGCTTACTATGAAATCCAATAAAATTAAATCAAAGAAATTATTAAACTTTGAAGTAGGGGTTTTATCATTGAAGTATTTTTGCAAATAAACAACTTATTCAAATTTCATCAATCGTTTTTTGAAATTGAATGAAACAGTTTGTAAATCTTGACAAAAAAAAAAAAAAAAAAATAGTAGCAATAACTTCAGCAATACTAAATCCTGTGAAGATTTCAACACGCATCAGTATTCATAAAAAGTCAAAGTTCCAGTGTTTTCACTAAACTTAAATTCTTATTTTCTGCATATTGTTCTAATAGTAAATTCTACAATTAAAAGACTTAATCAAAATTGGAGTCACTCCCTATCTTGATCTATCTAGATAAAAAAAAAAAAAAAAAAAAAAAAAAAAAAGGCCTTCTTGGCTCAAGCAAAATGCAGATGGTTAAAATTCATGTAATAGCAAATTTCTCATAGGCAAATAAAGTGACAATAAAATCTATCTTAAAGTGTATGAGCAGGAGTGGCATATTTTTTTTTTTAACATAAAAATGGAGCATGGATTGGAGTAGGAGCCGGAGAAATAAAACCATGAGAGAAACCCATCAGTTATCTCCCTTTGTTTACTCAGGTACTGAAAATGGTTTTTTATCACAGTTATCTTTGCATCCATTCCATTCTCATGGATTACCAGCCGTGTCTGTATTGCCATATCGCTAGCCTCGACTGCATAAACTGGATTAGACAATTGAAATTGAAAAGATGTGGTTTTCATTAGTGGAAGGGAAAAAGCGATCACTAAACAGTTCAAAGAGTGTCAGCAGAAATTAATTTATAGTGAAATTGTCATTTTTTTTTTTTGTTCAGTTGATAAAATAAAAACATGCATAAAAGGAGACAAAATTTAAATAGCAGTAAATATTGAATATACAGTTTATATATTTTCATATCTTCATTAAAATAATGAACGTTTGTAACTTATTTAATTACTTATGAATTTATAAGTATTTTAATATATATTTATTTTGAAAAATTTATGGCACAGTGGATAGTGGCTTGGATTGAGGAATCGAACAGCTAAGTTCGAATTCCAGTTGAATCCATTATATTCACTTACATGATAATACCCTTCTCCCCCCAGCTATGAGTAAATAGCAGGACAGACCGGGTTCTATAGGCTTGGATGGCAACTGGTCTACTGCAGAAAGAAATGGCAATCTACTGCAGAAAAATCTGCCTCGTCAGTCACGTATTGAAAGATACATGATCGCCTAAGCATGTATCATGTATTGCAATGTATGGCACATAACTGACTGAATTCTATTCTTTCAATACTCTATTTTATATAGCACTAGTTCAGTACTTGTGGCTTTCATGATGGTAAGATGACCAAACTTCAAATCTAAATTGCCTGCCTGTTTAAAATATTAAATTTATTAGAAAATCTGTTCAGGAGGTTAGTTTACACTCTTTTCCTGTTAACCAGGAGTTGTGAGACAAAGGGAAATTAGCCTTGGTGGAACAGATATTCATTTCCAATTTTATTCAAGTTGTATGTGTTTGTACCTTTGCAAGTGTGCATGTATATTTTAATTCAATGACAAATCTAAAAATTCTTTGTCTGAATTTCTGGGACGAGGAGTTGTCATTATTTATATTCAGACTACTGTCCTCATCTTTGTGGTTTTTATCACGTTTTGGCAACTGTTCCCTCTGGCCTTCCTCAGGTGTATATCAAACTGGGTAATCTACAGGGAATTCTGAACTAAACATTTTATTTAATCTATGGTGGTAGACGGTTTACCCCTATAAGTTATCTAGATCGATATGCACTCAAGGAAGGGTGGAGGGCACAACAACTGAAATGTGATTAAAACAACAAAGATAAGGACAACAGTCCAAATATAAATAGTGTAAATAAAAAGTTTTATTGATGAATAAATTCCAAAAGTTCAGTAAAATCTGTTCATTAATCACACAATATTTTATTGCTCACCCCAGGGTAGAAGTTATCCAGGCTGAGTGGAAGGTGTTTGTATTGTTCCAATGTCTTATTTCAAATTTAGTCAAATTTTGTACATATTTGCTTCTCTATACAGTAAATGGTGCAATCACAGATAAGTCACTTGTGCACAACATAGACATACACATGTACATTACGTATGCAAAGTTACAGAGAGAGAATTGGCTCTTCTTTTATGATATAGACGGAATAGAAAATGGAATTGGGAAAATAAATTGTATAATTTAAAAACTTACATACACTGGTGTGCAAAAGTTTTGGGACAACTACATAAAATGATTATACACTTTTATTTTATTAAGATTGTTTAGCAGTATACTTTTATCAGTTGTGTCTGTGGGTCTTGAGGACTGGAAAATTGGTTGTTGCATTTTTGTAGGTGCTGTGTAACAGAAGATTCACTGTTTTTAGGAGATTGACACTGAAAAAGGCCAAGCAAAACTATTGGACAGGTGAAAGATCTGAGATGATAACTAATGATAAAATGCAAATTTCTAAGTAGGAATGGTTCCACCATATTAACATGAGTGTAAAGTGAATTGGCAAGTCATTGGAGTTGGACATTAGCTTGCCTAGATAGATGAAATTTCTCCTGAAACAAAGATGATGGTTGTGACTTTGAAAGGGGAAGATGGCTCAATGAGAGATAGACAGATGGCTGGGAATTTCCAAAAGTGATCAAATCATCCAAAAGATGTTTACTACCACTTAAATATTTTTTTAAGTGCAAAGAAAACTGGAATACCACAAAAGTTAGTCAAGAGAGAGGAAAGATTGTGAGAAAGTTGGCATGCAGTCCAAAATGAACATCCAAGAGAAGAGTGAACAATTGAAATGCTAAAAAAAAAGAAAAAGAAAAGAAACTAAAAAACATTGGAATAGAAGATTGATGTGGTCTAAAGAAAATCTAACATGAAATGCTGGAAAGTGGCAAAAAGTAATTTTTAATAATGAATGCAAAATAAGGTTGCATTCTAATGCAAGAGAATATATGAGAAGAGCAGTGAGAGAAAGAAACAATGCAAGATATGCCACAAAGACTGTCAAATTTGATGCTGGACACACAATGTTGAATCAAAAGTGATGTCAGAAGAAAATTGGTAAAAGTTGTTTGAAATATAAAAAGCAAAAACTATATTAGTTTAATCTGTCAGATTATGAACAGGGAGAAATTTTTCAGTATGACAGTGTTTCTTGTCACATATCACATGTAAGAAAAATGTTTGTGGATGTTCAATCAATATTTGGTCAGATTTTGAGAAGTTCGTTAGGTTGACAATTTCAAGCCATTTTCAAGATCCTGTGTGGCTGCTATGCTTTGAAGTGGCAAGGTTAACTTGTAGGACAGAGTTGCAATTGTGTACCCTATGCAAGAATTTGATGTTTGTGCATCATGAGAAAGCAAATCCTCATTGAGTAGGAGAATCTGTAGATGACATTGGTATGGTGGTGATTTTTTTTTTTTTTTTTTTTTTAAGTATTTGCATTGTTGATAATGATTAGGATAGATTTTAATTTTTGATCTTATATATTTGTAACATTCAATTGGAGACATGTCTAGGCATACAATGGCTGTGTCATCTCTATAATTCAAAAGCTGCAAAAGAATAGGTTTGTGTTATTTTCATTACCAAATTTTTATTGTGGAGTTCTTTTTAGAATTAGTTTTATTTGTTGATAACAGTAACTTCATTGTTTACAAGTTTTTGTAGAATAGTGCAAGTGGGGGGGGGGGCTAATTTTTAATAACAGTGTAATTCTATGGACAACCACATAGAAAAGGAAAGTGTGGCTTTATCTCCATCTAAAATGTTTCTCTTTAATAGTAAGAATAGAGGTTTTTTTTTTTTTTTAAGTTTCCTAAGTGGCATCCAATTTGACTGAAGGGAAATGGAGAAATAAAGAAGTGGATGAAAGATTTTTGGAGATCAAGTGGCAACAAAACTGGAAATAGGGCCCCAATCTCAGGTTAGGTCTATATTAACAGTAATTACTTTGGATCAATTTTTCAATCTTGTCCGCCTTTGATGGGAGACGGATTTGTTTGTCACATTGTTATGATGTTGCACATTCATATTGTCACCTATGACGTCAAAATGAGTAGATGGGTGATGAGTTGATAGAGGGGAGTGATCCACACAGCAGAAGTTGTCCAGTGTCACTTACCTAAAGGTGAAACCCTGAATAAAATATAACCTGGCAAACAGAGTTTGAATTCTTATTTCCCAATATGGTATTTGTCTTTCATCTTGTTACCTTGTGAGCATACAGTGGGCCCTTTCCCAGCTTTCAGTGCAGACTGATGAGATCGAGAGAATGCAACATGGAGAAATTATTGGTTGGCCGAAGGTTGCATAGTGTGTTTACAACAGCTGCTTTTTCTATTTTTTTTTTATATAGAAAAGTTATGGAGGTGTAGCTATTGCAGCCATTTCAGAAAGACATTGTATTTTTGAAAAGTCCTTTTATTATGCAATATCAACTACAAAAAATGCAAAAAAGAGACCAAATAATAGAAGCTCTAGCCATGAAATAAAATCTGAAACTAAAAACTGAACAAGAAAAAATATAAGCAAATTAATCCTTATTTGTAACTAATGTTTAGGATGTACAGGTAGCATAATGTTATCAATGTGGGAAATAGAATTGTCAAGCTGAGTTCAAATTCAAGCCGAGGCTGTTGTGTTCACTTCACAAAACCCAGATATGGGTTAAATAGTAGAAAATAGACTGGTTTTTTTTGTCTAGGAAAGAAAACTAAATTTAATTTTAAAGCTGTACAGAAAGCAATGGGAAAATACTTCACTAATTCCCAATGTCATGGCAATTCACAGATAAAGGAAGAAATCTATGAGGAGTCATAATTGCCTACATCTTGTAAGGATATGGCATAAAAAGCAAAATTTGTATAATATAACCAAAAAATAGATCTGACAAACAGCAAAATTCTGATGTTTTTTTTTTACTAAAAGTTCACCCGATACAAGGCTCAAGAGCCACTTAAGGTAGGTGATTACTGAATGAGGATGTATGGATATAAGATAGGTACCTCCATGAAATCGCTAAAAAAAGAGCATAGCTTGATGAAAAAGACGCCAACCTTGCCGAAAACAAAATTTTATTGTCTAAATGCTTATGTTATTATTAAGAGGAAAGACCAAAAAGTTTTTTTTTTTTTAATTATTTTTTAAAATTTTTCCTTCTTTTTAGAACATTCTAAATTTTGATTAAAAACCTTTTTCTATTTTGTATCAGCGAACTAGTAAATAACATAGACAATTTTTAGCACGTTTTTTTTTTGGTATGACACACATTAATTTGAAAAATCGTGCAAAAATAGAAATAATTATCGGATGTTAATGAAACTTTCAGGAACTATTCACAGATGATCGAAATTATTATAAATATGTTTTTTTTTTTTTTTTAAAAGTCATGGTAGAAATATTTTTTAAAATATTTATTACCCCCCCATAACTAATTTTATGAAAAAACGCTAGAAATTCGATCGCATCGGTTTTAGTGATTACAATAATTAAAAAGCACAGGGCTTTGAGGAATGCAAATCATGTTTTTTTTTTTTTTTTTTTAATTGGATACGCAGTACCTGAAAATCAGCTGTGAATTGTAACATACAAAACTCAATAAAACAAAGATATTATTTAATTTCAAATGCTTTTATTTGCTTTTAGTTGTTTTTATGAATATGGACAAT